ATTTATAAAGAAATCAGTGAAAAGCTGCCAACACGTTTCCCCAGAACCATTATGACCCGTTAGTCAAACACACCTTTTCAGAGTCATCATGACCCTACGAAACCGATGCAATTTCTAACCCCACCAATGCGACATCATGTACGCGCAGGAAGCAAGGAGCGTATCTCCCACGCGTGCAGGTAACAAATGTAGAGGGTCAGAAATTAAGGTCCAATTATGGGCCTAAGGCTTAAGGTCGCCCCTTTTAAGCGACCAAGAATAACTAAAGGAGCATGGGCTAAAGCCCAAGGAAAGTGGGCCAATAGTGGGACGCTACAGGTCCGACCTGCCAAAGATCTGAATAGACTCCACGAAAAAAAATGTCTAAGTCAAGTTACGGAGGCAACACTTGCCGCGTCAAGTTACTGAGGCACTTTTCCTCAGTATCGCCATTTCCAATATTGTCGGTTCCATTGCCATCTGAAGTTGTTGAGGAAAAGAGAAAACCAAAGCAACTAAGTTACAGAGGCAACACTTGCAGTGGTCAAGTTGCTGAGGCACTTTGCTTTAGTGCCGCTATTCTCAATATTGTCGATTTCGCCGCCATTTCAAGTTGCTGAGGGAAAAAGAAAACCGAAGCAACTAAGTTGCAGAGGCTACATTTGCAATGGTCAAGTTGGTGAGGCACTTTAACTTAGCGTTGCCATTCCTAAGTATTGTCAGCGCCGCCAATTGAAATTGCTAAAGGAAAGAGAAAACTGAAGTAACTAAGTTGCAAAGGCAACACTTGCAACGACCAAGTTGCGGAGGTATTTTGTCGGCGCTTCCATCTCTAATATTGTCAGGGCTGCCATCTGAACTTGCCGCGGGAATGACTACCGCAGCAACTACAGCCTCTACAACTAACATGTGGAAGGACCACCCCGCCAAGGTGATAGCAACCTTTGGGAGAAGCTTCCTCTCCACAAGTAGAGAGGCTCATGCTTAGCACTGATAGCAGGCCCCAAGGCATTACTAGCCTAGGGCTAATAGCAGGCACCCAAAGTCTTTTTTAGTTCAGCGCTGATAGCAGGCCCTGAAGCTCACTAGCATGGCGCTAATAGCAGGCCCCAGGCTTACTGGTTAAAGCTGATAGCAGGCCCAGATATACTAATATACCGCGATAATCCCACGAAGATGGGAGTAGGGTAGCCTGAGCGCAAAGGACTCCCTTTCCATTTACCCAGGTCATGGACCTGCCTTAGTCTCATAGGCAAGACTAAGAAAGCCTCCTTAGGCTTGGTACTAAGGCACAACATGGTTGATAGTAGGCTTGGCTGTGGCCATCGCCTTGAGAAGTTAGGGAATTTGTGGTTAAGTGGCTAAGAGTGGAGATTTTTCGCTGAGGTGAACACGAACACATGGCTGATAGCAGGCTATGAAACCCTGAGAATACATGTACTAGCTAAATAGAATTGAGAAAGCAAATACAGCAACGAGGTTTATCGCTATAAGTGCACTTGCTGAGGTTCGAGCTGAGAAGGCAAGTGTAGCGGCAAACACTCCCGCCGCAACTGTACTTGCTGAGACTTAAAAGGTAGTTGCAGTGCTAAACACTCCCGCTGCAATTGCACTTTCTGAGGCATTTGTGCCAAACTAGTAAATGCAGCCTCAAACTCGGCCACTGAAGAACTCGACTGCTTAAGCTGACAAAACTGGTCTCTCAGCTTCTCCCTGACTGCTGGAGATAAGAACTTCTCCTGGAAAGCATTCACAAAAGCCTCCCATGTAAAACACTCCCGCCGCAACTGTACTTGCTAAGACTCAAAAGGTAATTGCAGTGCTAAACACTCCCGCTGCAATTGCACTTTCTGAGGCTTTGTGCCAAACAGATAGTACATAATACACGCAGAGGGACACGTGGCACTTTCAGCCTGGTGGCTCAAGGCAGAATATTCCATGTGATCCTTATGAACACATGTCTTCTTTGTATTTGGCCACTTGGTGTCCTCTTGGTACCAAGGAAAAACCTATAAATAAGACCCAATTTCCCAAGGTCCAAGAGAGAAATTTTGGAGATTTGGGGGAGATGCTGTCTATTTGTGCACTGTCATTCTCTTCTTCTTAAGCTGTTTGCTTCACCCTCACCTAACTACTCATTCTCCAGCCATTCCACCATTGTTAGACCGTTAGCATAGTTTTACCTCTCTAATCACTACTTACATAGAACCCCTCACTACAAATGCAGATCTTAACTAGACTATTAGAGCACACACTCATTATCTAACTAAATTAACAAATACTTAGAGTATCTCTAATGAACTTTTTAAAAGAGACTTTTTTATTATTATAATTAGTTTCATGCTATTTTATTCACTCCAACGAATTAACTAATACAATAACTTTTTAACAAAATTCTTACAGAATAGTTACATTTGGAGAGTATTGGAAAACTCTTTAAATTAATTTGTGCAAATAGATATATAAAATAATAAAATAACGTTAGAATACATAGATCAAAAATTAATTAGGTAAAATAAAAAAGTATACATTTTTTATACTTAAACACCCAAATATGTTCTATTTTTATAATGTTTTATATTTTAACAACTGGAAAATACTATGATGTACACCATTTGAAGGGTATGTACCATATACACGTATAACTTAAAAAAAATGACAAATTACCTACACCTCCCTTGAGGTTTAACGAAATTATAGATTTCCCCTGAGGTATCAAAAATTACATCTCGCCCCATTGCAATTAACGCCATTAACGAATATCATAAATTGACTAAAATGCCCTTTTGACAAATAAGGACAAATTACCTACACCCCTTTAAGGTTTAGCTAAATTACAAATTTTCCCCTGAGGTTTAGCTAAATTATCATTATTAAATAAGTTATGAAATGCAAAATTAAAATGAAAAAACACTTATCACACTTCAAAAAATTAAGGTTTTAAAGACCAAAATTTATGGACAAAATTATTTTTAAAAGACCAAATATTTTTGTTTCAAAAAGTGTCGTTATTTTATTTTTAGCAACAAAAATTGAACATTAGTGATTAATTATTATCTTTTTGGTATCAAATTTTTTTTCTGAAAAAATAAATCATTTTGAGACCAATTTATTTTGCCCCTAAATGTCTATTTATTATTGACATTTTCGAAATTTTATTGCTAAAAACCTTATTTTTTACTTTTCAAGGCGGCTTTTTAGAGACTATCCTCACGACGACAGAAATTAGTCCCTAAATGTCTTTTGTAACAAAATTTTCACTTTTAGAGATAAAAAAAATTGGTTTCTAAAACTCTTATATGTTGCAGTGTCAGATGGTGAAAATATCATAAAATTAACAAATAATTAAATAAGTTAAAAACACGAGAAATAGCTTGCCAAAAAATTCTTAGAATATGTTTGGTTTGATTTTTAGAAAAAATTTTTTATTTTTTTTAAAAAAAATTAAAATTAATTTGGTTAAGAAATAAAAAATAAAAAATAATTATTATTTTTATATAATTTTATCTTTTGAGTGGTTAGAAATAATTTTTACAAATTAAATATATTTTTCATATTTATTTTTTTAAATTAGTTTTTATTTTTTTTTAATTCTAAAATTTTTTTGTAAACAACAAATTATACATAATTCCAAAAACTTAATTTTTTTTTCCATCTAACATAATTCTTTTATAAATTTTATTAATTTATCAAAAGGATTTTAGTAAAGGTAATATCGTTCATCAATTTATATTTTGGTGATATCAGCTAACCATTCTTAACGTTTAGTTAACGGTAAGGGTCAAATTGCTATGCGAATATAAACCTCAGGGGTGTGATATAATTTTTGAAATCTCAGGGAAATCTATAATTTAACTAAACCTCAAAGGAGGTGTAGGTAATTTGCACTAAAAAAAATAGCATAACTTGAATTTTTTGAGTCATAACTAAAAACAAGAAAAAAATATTATAATTAAATACAACATGAGGTATAACTAAAAAAATTTATAAATCATAACTAAAATAATGTCATAATTAAATAAAAAAATGATCATAATTAAAGAAAAAAATGATATAAATATAGTGTATATGGTACACTCTTTTTAAAAGAGTGTATTATATATTAGAATTCCCTTACGTTATGTTTAATTGAGAAATTTATGAAAGAATTTGAAAAAAAAAATTAAAATATGTAAAATATAAATAAAATATTTTTATATTTTATTTAATTTCATATATATTTTCTTCTTTTATTTTTATTTTTAAATTTCTGCTTAAATTTCCAAACTAGTGTTAACAAATATTTTTAGTTAATTCATTGAACACGCTTTTATCTTCTCTGTCTTTCCTTCCTTTATACCTCTCGGCAGCGTTTGGTAGAGTTTTTTAAATATGATTTGAGAATAGAGTTATATTTTAAATTTGTGAGTTTTAGAATTATGACTTGAGTATGAAAAATTTGTTTGGTAAATGAGTTTTGAATTTTTTTTTTAAATTAAGTAGGAAATTTTTGATGTGATATATAATATCTAATATAGAAACTTATAACTCATAACCAAATACACAATTTAAAAATCTATTAAAAACTCATAATTTTTTTTTAAAATCCAAAAATATTGTTTTATTAAACATATAAAAAAAAAAGTACCAATTGTAAAAGATAAAATAAATAAATAAATTTGTCATATTTCGGTTAATCGGCCGGTCAATCGGTTGGATGATGATTAAGTCAAATTTTTTTAAAAAAAAACTTAAAATCCACCTGACACAAATTTTTTTATTTGTTATAGAAATATAATTTGAAAACCATTCCAAATATAGTATTAAAAAATACAACAATGATTCATCCCCTTTTTCCTCCCACCCTCTTTGACCCCCTCTCTCTCTCATTGGTTACATTTTCTTTTTTTTTTCTTTTTTTTCCTGCTCCTCTAATCACCACCCGCCACGTAACAAAAGGGTGAAGGAATAACCCCAAAAGGGGTCCCAAACGTCATTCTAAAAAATGTATGGATAGAATTATAGTTTAAAAACCCTTCCAAACTCAGCCCTCATCTTTCTGTTGTGTGGCCCTCTTTTTGTTGTCATCCACCAAGCTCAAATGGCAAATGAAACCAAACCCACCTACTTCTCTCCCCTCCTCACCCTCCTACTCACATTCTCCCTCTCCTTCCCCTTCCTCTCAACTACATCATCATCATCAGAACCAACAGACCCAATTCCAACACCATGGCCTCACCAATTCCACTCCTTACTCTTCATGAACCGCAGTGGAACACTCCAGAAGACAGACCTCTGGTACGACTGGCCCAATGGCCGCAATTTCAACATCATCCAGAACCAACTTGGCAACAAGGTCACCTACGACCTTGAATGGAACAACGGCACTTCCTATGTCTACACCTTGGATGATTCGGACCCAGAATGCCAAGTGTTGCATGTCGAGGTCGGAATCCTCAGACCCAATTGGCTCGACGGCGCCAACTACCTTGGCCAGCACTACATGGATGGGTTTCTTTGCAATGTTTGGGAGAAGGTTGAGTTTGTTTGGTACTATGAGGATGTTGTCTCTAAAAGACCTGTTTATTGGGTCTTCTATTCAGGTTTGTGTATCTATCTATACTACTAAGACAATCCATCTTTTAATATCAGTTCATCATCTCTCAGAAATTGAGTGATGGGTTGTGCTTTGTTTGCTTTTCTGAATTTGAATGGTACATGCAATGCAACCCGGTTCTCAATTTTCCATAACCATAGCTTATGACTTGATGGCACGGTTTTTTGGGAGTTTTCACGACAAATCTCCAAATAATTGATGTTGAGACGAGAATGTCAAAGTTAAAATTTTAAAATATTACATCTGGAGATCAACCTTGAGATTTTAACCTAGAAGGATAATTGTATTTGTAAATAAAAATTGTATCACTAACATAGAGTATATATATATATATGAATATATATAAAATATCGAGGGGGTAGGTATTAAAAATTGTAGTTGCAAATATATAAAAAGTTGATAATATTATCTGGGCAATGCTATACATTATTTCTTTTCTTATTATATTTTCTCACCCTAGACACAAGATAGCGTGACTGGCATATATTTCACTTACTTATGTCTAAGAGTATGAAAATAAGATAAGAATTAAGAGTGTAAAAATAAAATAAGAAATAGAATTACATGTAGTATTTTTCATATTCTTATGACCGTCGTCCCTATCCACCTGCCCTAGGTCCAACCCTTAGTTACAATCTCAAAATTTCATAATTTGACAATGTCGCTCTGATCATCTAAATGCCATTTATTTATTTATTTTTATTTTTTTCCTTTCTAAATCATCAAATATAAATGTCTTGTGTGGGCCATTTATGAAACAGATAGAGAGAAAAACACAAGTTAAAATTTGACATTATCTGCATTGTTATCTATTGTTTAGTACATTGAAGGAGAAAGGAGGCATCGGACCCATAATGGCCTCGTTTGGGAAGTGGCTATTTTAGAGGCTTTTTGGCTTTTTCGCTAATTTAGTAAGCTGTTTTAGTTTTTGTGTTTGGAAAGATGAGATAGATTTTTAATTGAATTGTTGTAATTGAAAAATGTGTTGAAATGGTGTTGATCATGGCAGTGCACCTATTTTTTTTTTTTTTTGTTGAGTTTTGCACCTCCGCCTACTGTTCATGCTTTTTGGCTTATATCCAAAATGAGGCTGTAATAGCCTGAACTTGTCTTTCCCAAACAGCGCCAATCTTTTAGTGAGGTGCATAAGTTCTAGTCACTGGGCTAATCCCAGTGGTTGACATTATTATAATTTAGCATGAGAGATACTAATTAGCACATCATTTGAGATAAATTTGGATGAGTTTGTTACCAAATTTGGACCTTGATTTGCTCCTAGGATTTCCTTTCAAATGCTTGGGTTATGATATTTGGATATCTGTCGACTGCAGGATATGCTGCACATGTGATGACATTTGAGGTGGGAAGAGTGCTTGATGATGAGAAATGGCAAGCCCCAGGCTATTGTTTTGAGGAGAAACAGAGCCCACTAATTGAACCTGTGGCTAATGTTGGTGGTTTGATGATGAGAGGGGCAATCAATGCTTCAATGGGGCTTTCACTGTAACCGGCTTATATTGTTCAGTTCCAGGTCTCTCTTCATGATTTTGGCCTTTTTGTAAGAGACTTGTTTCTCTTGGGTAATAATCAAAAATCAATCCTACTCGTTTCTGTGCCTCCAGCAACTTATGTGTTGTTTTTCTATTTCTCAAATACATACCATTTGATCCCCACAATTCCACATTTATTAGTGTATGAACTTCAAACTTGATCTGGATTGCTGGTGACCAAGTAAGTATTTTGAGGTCAGGAGGGACAATATTGAGGTTGCTTTACCCCGAACTTGATGCACTTCTCGCTTAGCATTGACCTTGATTCGAACTATTTGGACTGTGATGGTTATTGCTCACCCCTCCTGACACCTTGTAGAACTTGCAAGAAGAAACAATGAAAAAAATGAGTCTTTCATTGAGACATTTCATCGAACATGTGTACATAATTCATATATTCACAATAAGAAAGAAATTACCGACAACTATACATTTGCTAGAAATCACACGTTCACAAGCTTTACAAATAAATCAATAAATAATAAATTTTTGTTTTGAGATTTTATAGCAAAATAAACATTATTGAGCAAATTCCAAGATTTTTTCTTAAAATAAAAGAAAAAAGTGGCATTGAAATATGAATTTATAGATACAAGTTAAATTGTAATTTTTCACAAAATGAGTGAACAACTGTCTAGCTATAGTGGGCTAGCCATCCCCCGCATTTGTCATGTTGAACAAAAGGTACAATAAAACATGGTGGATTAGCATATATTACAGAGTCCGGATCCTCTGCCATACTTTCCTGCCATGCCCCAAAACGACGTCGTTTTGGGGCAAAATTTCAAAAAAAAAATAAATAAAACAAAACAGAACCGAACCAGAGAAGGGGACGAAGAAAGAAGACAAGAACGACAGAGAGGCGAGACGCCTCACTGCCTGTAGATCGGTTCGAGAGGCTTGAGAAAGCTTTGGTATGCTGGTCTTTTTTTCTTGTTTGCTGCATGTCTATAAATCTCTCGATTTGTATCCAGTCATGGCTATGATTACAAAGAGAGTGGCTTGAGTGGGTTTTCAGATCCGATTCGATGTATGGCGAGAGAGAAAGTCATGATGTTGAAGATCGAGTGACTAAGGTGCCGCCTTAGGGCTCTTGGGGTCTGAAATCACAAAAATCTCTTTTGATTTTCTCTCTCTTCATCTTCGATTTGGGGTTTCTCCCACAATGACAGACTTCCAAAATTTACGGTTGATATGAGCCCTAAATTGGCAATACAAAAGAATTTGTGTTTGTGTTTGTGTTTTGCATTTGTTGGGTTAATTATGGAGAGAGAAAGGACTTTTTTGTTCTTGTGTTCTCTATCTGAAACAACAGTGCATACATTGAAAGTCTGATTTTACTTTGAATTTACGCCAAACAAAACCCAAATCTGATACATTGAAAATCTGATTTCACTTTCACTTCTTCTTAGTCTGTTTCGTATTTGGGCTTCATTCTTGGTTCAGATGAGAGCTCACAAACCTTTGAGAGGTCAGGGGAAAACAAAAAAAAACAAAAATGATCTTATATATATACATATGTATACATATGTGTGTGTATATATATATAGATGATTGGGTGTGAAGGGTGGGTTTGTTTTGTTCTGTTTTACACTTGGTCAAAATGAGTTCAGGCCTTTTCAAATGAGAGAAGAAAACAGGTGCAAAAGGAAAAGGAAGAAAGAGAGAGAAAAAAAAAAACAGAGGTGTTCTTCCTCTTAGATTTGGTTGTTTGAATGTTTGAATGGGTGTTTGAATCTCACTTTTTGGAGATTACATGATAATATCTAGAGGTGTTCTTCCGCTTAAAAAAAACGTCTCTTATTGCCTCTAGAATGGAAATCACGGCTTTAAAACATGTTCTTCCTCTTAGATTTGGTTCTTCCTTTGGTTCTGGCCTCCTCTCTCTCTTTTTCTTTTTCTTTTTCTTTTTTTTTTTTTTTGAAAACTTGCCCCAAAACGACGTCGTTTTGGGGCACCGCAGGAGACTGCCGCAGGAGACCACGGCAGAAGATCCGGACTCTATATTACAAGGTAGCTTCATGCAGAAGTGTTGTTTAGCAAGAGTGCTCGCCTCTTCATATACATAATGAATCCTGATGATGCTCCACTCAATGACGACTTCAGAAATTTATAAGGATGAGCTCACTCTAAAAACTTAAATTCTACAAATTTTATACGGAAAAAAAAAAATAATCTAATTAAAATTTAAACTTCTCAAACTTGTAAAATAATTTTTTTAATAAAATGCTATTGTCTTAATAAAACAAAAAAAATGATTGTTAGGGAGACAAAGGGGAGCAAAAAAACATATTGAATGTTTAAGTTAGAGACTTTCGCTTTGTTTAATTACAGTTTTCAAAAATTATTTTTGGATGAGTTTTCGTTTGTTTTTACTGAACCTTTTTCATATTTTAGCTTTTTTTTTATTATTATTATTTAGATACATTAAGATTAGATGCATCAAATGTAAATAAATTGAACTAAAATATTAAAAAAAATTCACTAAAAACAAACGAAAATCCAAACAAATACGTACACATTTTTATTTAAATTTTTGTTCGTTTATAGTAATTTTTTAAATATTTTAGTCAATTTGTTTGACTTTTTGGATGCATCTTGATTAGATACATTTAAAAAGTACAAAAAATAATTAAATTATTAAAAAAAATCAATAAAAATAAACGGAAACTCATCTAAAAGCAATTTTTGAAAAATCAAATTAAACATTTGTTCCTTAAGTTGACTTCTAATAGTGAGTGAGTTCTTAGTGGTTGGGTTATTATTTTTAATTTGTTAGAGTCAATTGGTTAATAAGTAAAAATTTTATCATAATTTTTTTTTTTCGAAGTTTTTGGGGAAGCCGATGGGGGAGGAACCCCATCAGCTGTATGGTGGAGTCGCCTCTCGCTCCAATTACCCCCAAGCATTAATCTGTAATTAGAGATCAATGGTTGTATTGAGAAGAAATTAGCGCACGCACGCGCGCAGACAAAAAAAAAAACTTTGCATGAATCTACTTGTATCTCATGACATCAGAAATCATTGAGTCCATGGAAGACAAAGACCAGTACGGATACTCCAAAGTTTTGCCACTAGTATGGAGTTTGTGCTATGTAACCTTTTTTTTCTTTTTTCTTTTTTCTTTTTTTTTGGTGCTACAGAAATGAAAGACAAGAAAGAATAAGGGTGTACTAGTAAATTACTAGAGGGTTATGAACTCTTTTCTTCAACCACCCAGTATTTAACTTGGACCAATCCCGTTTTAGCTAGAATATTTGTGCAGATATTAAAAAAATGAAATACAGTTTAGTTGGTTTTATTTGGTTGGATTAGAGAATTTTAAAAATGAAATTTTCAAAGAAGTTTAGGTGCCGTTTGATAACACTTACGTTTTTAATTTTTTGTTTATATTTATAAAAATTTAAAAAACTCAAATAAAAGCTTGTTTGGTAAAATTTTTGATTTATAAATCAGTGGTCTCAGTTTATAAATTTGGCCAAAAAATGAAAACACAAAAAATGTGTTTCCATTTTGAGTTTTCAGTTTTTTTTTTATCACCTAACATTAGCCACCACCCGCCACCATTTTCCACCACCGTCTTCTGCCACCACCACCCACCATCCACCCTCCACCACCACCTGCCACCACCACTCACCACCCACTTGCTACCACCCGCCACCGCCACCCATCTGCCACCCACTCGCCACCACCAACCATCCCTCGCTACCAACACCACCACCACTTTTAAAACTCATAACCAAAATTTCAAAACCGAAGCCAAGACCCCAGGAGTGGTCACAAGACTCGTTGCTCTAGACTCACTCCCAGACCCAAGGAAGTTTTTAGGAGAAAGGAAGATTAGAAGGAAAAAAGTGGAGTTTCTGTGTTTCTATGTTTACATATCGAAGCTTAGTTTCTATGTTTTCATAGCTAAGTGTATGTTTGTAACAGTACACGTTGATGAACGGCCACCGAATGTTATTGCCAGATTGATGGGTCTTGATGGGCTGCCTCCTCAGCAGCCTCTTCATAGACAAAATAAAGGGTTCTCAAAAACTTATCGACAACAGACTGCATCAATATCATCGCAAAGTGATGGAAAATCATATGAACACCGATCAAATAGAAAACACTCAATGGCGCAGCAAGAATGTAAGGATGAGTATGATGTTTTGGAAACATCAAAGGTTGAGAGGAGTAGTTACCAGCAAAAAGGACAATAAACTCAAAGCTGTCTGAGGCATAGATGGCGTTCATTCAGTAA